TTACTGTGTTGAAAGTATCACGACAGCGCCGCAAAATATAATAAGAGAAGATGTTATAAAGGAAAGAATCAGAACAGGGTGACTACTGCTGTTTTGTTAATTGTCTTTATGACAAATAGAAGACTTGTGTTCTTTGTGTCCTAACATTTGTACTTCTACAGTTAGTATATTCTAAATCTAGGCATCTCGTTTTTCGGCCCTTCGTGTTTTTATTGCGCGCTTGCCTTAAATTTAAGGTAATTAGATTTAAGGTCTCCAGTGGACGTCATCCATAGCAATTACTTGGTGTGGCCGTAGAAAATAACCTGACATATGTCCAACCTATCCTCCCCCTGCTGAAGTTATAGTACAATCCCTCAATGTAACGTCATTTGATCCCATCCCATTATGGGGTTCCCTGGCTATATCCAGCTGTCGGCTGTCTCCAAGCAGATGTAGGTGGGGGATTTCTAAACACAAAAGGTCCTATTACGGGGACATAACGACCTCCACGACTCTCATCTTTGAACTCAATCTTGGAGACCACGACAGTAATATGCCTATCGAATTTCATTAACTTCCATCCACACATACAAAAGTTATCCTGCTCACAAGAAAAATTAACAAAATGCCCCCTGTAGTCACAACGAAACCCCCCACGAAGCTCAGTAACGAACTTAACCTTGGTCCCGACAATAGTAAGTACCACACCAAGAATTATAATCAACATTTTACAAATACTTGAGTTATCTTGCTAACAAGCCACAAACACAAAAGGTGCACTAACGTGACGCACGGACCCCCCACGAAGCCGAAACTTGTACTTGACTTCGGCCTCAACAGCGGTAATATGCCTGCCAAAAATCATGGACGTCGAATCATGCCTTCCAGAGTTATATCGCAAAATCCGCTGTTCCCCACACTCCGGCGAGACAATTTTCATAGTCCTTCTGACGAAGACAATAAAACATGTACACTAGAAGATGGACTGTGCCGAGTTCTTCCATGTTCCGTCCCCGGTCCTGGACACCCTGGCACGGACAGTGTTCGGGGAGACTTTCTTGCGATCATACGCCAGGCCCAGCCAGGCCATGACGTCGATGAACACGGTTGTGGAGTTGACTTTCCAGCCCAGCTCGCTTGTGGCGTAGTCGTACGGGAAGGTATGGTGGTAATTGTGCCAGCCCTCGCCTAATGCATTTACAATATGGAAGTCAATATGATGCCGTTAAAGCGCTTGCGATTTGTTAGAAGTGTACAATTTCTTTGCGATATTTTAGGAGCAAGTACAGTATAAAATCCAGCTACAGGGATGAAAGAATCAGTTGACACGTACCCATAGCTAGGAAGGCGACCGGGAAGTTTTGCGAGGGGTTGATGAACTTGTCGTACGGCTTGTTGCCCCACATGTGCGCCGCGCTGTTCACGAACCAGGTCGCGTTCAGTGCCAGGACGTACCGCAGGACGGCGCTGAAGAACGCGCTCACCAGGCTCTCACCCCAGAGTCTCGGCACCAGGGTGGGGACGACGAAGCACATCAGCAGGGCTGTGGGCGCGTAGAGTCTGGACGGAATAACAGATTATAAACCTCCTGCGTCATCATTTAAAACCCCCACCAACGTGCTGTCAACCTACTCTGTCCGTTGGGTCGTGTGGCGTAACTGCAGAGTGCTCGATTAGAACCAAGAGGTCCCGGGTTCGAATCCTGCCATGCCACCGCTTTTGTGTCATTGGGAAACTTGAGCACTTTACATGATCGACTTTCCTTTATTAATACTACACTCAGGGTGAAAATGAGTATTGTCTATTCGTTGGTGGCGGCATGAAAATAAGTTGAAAACCCGAGTGTGCCGTCACCATGTCTTGTCACTAAATCAAATGTTGGATGTAAAAAAATTAAACTACTCCGTCCGGACAAGCATACACACAAAGTCACAAACCCACACACAAACCCTCCCAAAACAATACTTATGTACCTGGAAATAACTGACTGTTACTCACTTTCGCTGTACTTTTACGACAGGGTCGTTCAGCACATCGCTCAGGTCGATCTGTTTCCCCTTGGCGATGACATCCGGGTGCTTCCGGACCAACAGCCAACCGATGTGCGCGAAGAAGAAGCCGCGCTTTGCATTGTGGGGGTCGGCAGGGGTCTCCGAGTATTTGTGATGAACACGGTGGTCACGTGACCAGTCGTAAATATCGTTCTGAAAAAAGAAAATTTCAAAATAAAAAATAAAAAATGTGCTTATGCTTCATATGCTAGGCACGTCTTGTACACTGACTGGAAGTTAGGTCAAAGGTCCTAGAAAAGGTTATTTCTTTTCCTGTCTTCAATTTCCTAAAAGACAGGAAAATGCTAAAGTGCATGTTTGAAGCCTTATGTATATAAGAGCCAGTGGAAAAATGCAGACAGAATCAGTGACAAGAAACTTTGATTACAACAATGAATAAAACCAGAAATTCACCAGAAAAATCTAAGCATTTCATGGAGGTATGATATCTTCACTTTCTTGTTTGAGTTGTGTCTGTACCTGTAAACTCATACAGTTGACGATGGCGAGGAATATCCTGAGCGGCAGCCTGGCCTTGTAGGACCTGTGTGCCCAGAGCCGGTGTGCCCCTGCCGTCACGCCCAGGGCCGACAGGCAGTAACAGAACACAGCTACAGAACACAAACATGATACTGTATTACGTTTCATGAATTACCTTTTGGAAAAGTCTCCAACAATCGTCCCCGTGCATGTAAAATTGGTTTCACAAACTTAGAAAAACACAATCTTTAAGTATTACTCTATTGAAAGATGCACTTGGCGTCCGAGTACTAGTTTTCATATCCACCAATGAATACTTTATGAGCCATCTGTGATGCAACCTCAACAAGATGGCCAACCCATGACGTCACGACCCAACATGGCGACGCACATCAACCCAAGTGTAAAACAAAATAGGTTTTTACTTCTCAAAACCTGTAATTATTGCAAGAAGATGTTTTGTTATCTAGCTCACCCCACAGCAGTGTGTAGACGTGTGCCCAGGGCAGCAGGACCAGACCGTAGATGGCTCCCAGGTGGAGGAGGCTCATGATTACAACGTTCCTCCACACGATCTGGAGAGGGGGAGCCTTCCCATCCTGAACAGTGGGAGAGGGAACGGTCGGGAGATCTGTGGTCACCTCTTCATGGACAGGGTGTTCAAAGTCGTTCCTTGGTGCCATTTTGCGGAACTTCAGGTCTGTCAAGAACAGAGTATATCATTTACTAGTGATGCATTAAAAAAAGTACTTTTCAAACATTTATTCGTGCATTCAACACTTTATTTATTTTATATGGGCACATATTTGCAATCAAGTTATTATAATCATCACCAAGCAAGAGAATATATTTACGTACTCGTGTAGGGCATCCGGGCTCTTGTCCAAACATTACGTCATCCTCATGTGAATGTGTGTCAAGTGTCATGAATCAAGGTCACAATGAGGATGATGTAATTTCTTTTCATCCTTTCAGTACTGCGAATGCTTTCTGCTTTGTAGTTAATGTAACACGGATTTTGCGAACGTTTTATTAGGCCTGGGAAAATTAATGTTATGTTTCCGACTACGTTATCATTTCGTTTCATCATTCAGATTTTGGCCCTCGCCAGCGGCCGGCCCACTAAAAGATTAAGGTTGGAAGATTTTGGCTAGGGTCGGCCGACCGGGGTGACTGGAAACACAATATTTTTCCCTCGGCCGTAAGTTCTGCTTTTTGGCACGCGATGTGTTTTCCCCTCGTTTCCTGGCATCCTGCCATACAAAATAGCAGTGAGTCAGACCAGCGTGATGGTCCTGGGACCAGAGTAATCCGGCATTTAATATATTGACTCATTACAGTAGGACATTATATGGTGTCCTTGCGCGGTTTAATGGACAGTGAGCATATACATGTAGGGCAAAGGCACACATATAAAGATGCACAAATGACAGCATTTAGCGTACAGGGTGCCTGTTTCTTCTCATTTCTTGATTCACCCCCCCCCAATTCTCCGTTTCCCATGTTTTTATGCCAGTAGTCACATAATTTCACATTTCTTGACGTTATATTAAACGTTGTTCCGCCGAATTCACATAAAAGTCACATTATAATATACTCATAGTTGTTCTGCGTGCGTTGTAGGTCGTCACACGGCTTTGGTGTCGAATGTAATCATTCTTAGTAAGGCCGATAAATACTTGATAAATAGTATTAAAGGCTAGACGGTTGTGAATGTGAAGTGTAAAAAATGCACAACGTTGCAGTTAAAGACTAGAAGACAAGAAAAACTTACAGCCATGATTTGCAAAACGACAAAAAATTTTTAAGTTCTGCTTAATGTACTAAACTGACATAACATTCAAAATCTATGTCTAACAAAGAACAAATACAATTGCCTCAAGCCGGCAAATAGTCGCCTTACCTCCGAGGTGAAACTATATCCTGAGTGAGAGGTCAAGTCCAGGTCACGCTACGGAAGAGGTAACGTTTGGCAATGCGTATCTTGGCAGGTTCAAATTAGCTCAGCGTCCTTACATACAAACTTCAGAAAAATGGCCAATTCCAACTCTAAGGAGCATTTGTCTCATGCACATGCTTATATGAAGTCCACGTTACAACTAAAAGTCCCGTAGTGAATACTGAAATAGCGCTGTTGTGGCGCAGTTCAATTTGTGCTGGCTGCCTTGCCTGATTCACCGGCAGCCAATCACAGCGAACCTGGTTGACATAACCACTTTCGCGTGACCCCAGCCTTACCTCGAACCATAGAAACCTGTCAGTGTATTGCATCACGGTGAAAACATTATTTTATGTGAGGGGGTCAATACGTTTTCCCCGTTTATTTTGCACTTAAGCTTACTATCGCATATTTTGTGTTGTCAAAAAGTCTACATGGTTTAGATGATTTGTCAGTGAGCAGTGAGTGTGCGAACCTGCGTTTTGAAGAAACATTCTAATAGTACGATGTACATGCATATTCTCCGTTTAAGTGTGCTCGCTTTAAGTTTACATTGCCACAAACCTTGGTTCAGACGATATCTGATACTTTAATAATAAGTCCTAAATCGTGTTGTCCTAATGCATTTGACAGAGATATGCGCTTGCCAAGCTTGATTTCCAAGATTGAATCATTGAAGTTGACAAAGCCTTCTTTGAAGCGGCTCCTGGCGGAATATATAAAGAATACATTAGTTTTGGTGCTGCCCTGCTCTTATAACGTTAACTTGCACGAACTTGTTCAAAAATGGATACATAGATTCCTACAACAAAATACTGAGAAGTACGTTTTTCATTGTTTTAAGCATAACTAAATTATTTGAAAGATTAGTAGCATTATAGCAGAAGCAAAAGCAGAAGGATGAAAAAGAGCCCCAAAGCAAACAGGACGAGAAATTTCCCCCTCCCCACTACTAACACTGTGCGTATTTACGTTGGGCGACGTTGTTAAACAAAGGTGTAATAAGTAACTTATTCATCTATATTTGGGGCGCTAGAGCAGACGAGACATGACTAAAACAACTTACATGAGGTCACAGGACGGTTCCAAGCCAAGTTTAATGTTGATTCCCACCGAGTTAGAATAATGTGAACTGTTTGAACAGTGGCTTATTTTGCCCAGTCGTGAAAAAAACCAAGGCCGTCGTACAACATAGCCTGTGGTGTTTAAACAATGTTGGCGCTAAGGCCGTCCCCTCCGAATGCTTCTTCCAAACTCGGAGAGTGAGCACTGAGGGTCAACATCATGGCCGTGAACGTGGCAGGGGTGGTGGTAGTGGTGCTCTTGTATGTGGGGATGTTGGGGGTGGGGGTCTGGGCCGGGTGGAGGGGGAGGCGGAGAAAAGAGGGGGACGGAGGAGAGACACAGCCGGATAGTGAGGACTTCATGGTGGCCGGGAGGAGCTTTAACGGAGTTATCGGTACACTCACTATGACAGGTACGTACGGAACGCAGTGAAATCGGCACTTGAGTCAGAATGTGGTGATAAAAGGGGAGGGGCAACGCAGACTCGGTCTTTTATACACGACTGTGGTCATTTACAATTCTGTCCTATATTTTTACCTCATCTCTCACTCCGTGACAATTGGCTTGGACAGTGACTGTAACTATCTGTCTCTCAGAATTTTGGATATAGTATCTTCGAATTCCTTGGACAACACAAAAATTTTGTATGACCAGCCTTCAGCGCCGGCATTTATAACAATATAATGATGTCCACAAATGCAAATGTTGGAATTTGAAGCACGTCTATAACATAACTCTAAGCCAAGTATCTGACGTTTTGCAGAATCTTATTTTAGTGACTATTAGTTCTAATTCCAAGAACGTTATGGGTGAAGTTCTAAATTTCTTCGCCCTTCTATCCCAGCAACGTTTGTTGGAGGAGCTTTTATCAACGGAACAGCTGAGGCGGTGTACACGGCCGGGTCGGGGCTTCTCTGGGCACAGGCGCCGTTTGGACTGGCGCTTTCTCTTCTCATAGGTAAGATTTCGTGGGAACTGTTTTAATGGGCCTAAGTAAGGCTGTTAAAATCCGTCTTCGCAGCGAAAAGATACTACATAGTACCACTGGCGTTCCAGAGATTTCGTCAAATATCAAGGTCAAGGTAGCAACGTTCGGAGTCTCTCCGTGAAGACGGATTTGAGCTGGACTGTCGACATGTCTCGGAACAATCCGCAATCAAACTGAAATAAGCTAGTTTGGCCTAGGGCAGATTGTGATGCGATTATTGTAATCTGTACTATTAGAATCCCGAATTTAATCTGTCCTCAATCCCAATCTACTGTGAAGTTGAAATTCATACCGCAGTTCCATATCATTCCTATAGGTGGCGTCTTCTTTGCCAAGAAGCTGCGATCTGCCGGCTTCACGACCTTGTTCGACCCCTTCCAACAGAAGTTCGGCAGGTTCATGTGCGTGCTGCTCTACATCCCGTCTGTTTTGTCGGAAATATTCTACTCAAGTACGATTCTCGCAGCTCTGGGGACAACGCTTAGCGTTATTCTCGAGCTCGGTAGGTTGTCATTTATGTAAACATTCGATATTGATATATTGATTATGAGACCATAAAGCCATTAATCAGCCAACAGTCATGGTTTATGGGTTTCAATGAGTGGTTAATGATGCTCGCGTCGCTCATTCGGTGGTTATAGGAACCATCTAGGCTTTATGTCACCAAAAACAGGGAGGAAGGGCGGGACGTAACCCTTTGAATAGCGGAATAATAGCAAAAGATATAGCCTCTACCAGGCTTTGGGGCGGTAATAAACTGTTCTCTCCAGCAGACCAACTCCCCCGGCATGCTATCTCTCTATTTGGCCGATTTCTACTCTTTCCAGCCACCTCCTCAAGCCTGGTAGAGGCTACCAAAGATGGATAACAGACAAGAGTCTGCCCCAGTTGTATCTGATGATTTCTGATGATTTGCTAGACATAACCTGATGTTTGTGTCCTCTAGACTTGCGGATCTCCATCCTTATCTCCACGGCCGTTGCCGTGCTGTACACGTTACTGGGAGGGCTGTACTCAGTCGCCTACACTGATGTGCTTCAGTTGATCCTCATCTTCATTGGTCTGGTGAGAAAACACGCGTTACTTTCTTTTCTTTCAGTATCGACCACTGGCAGAACAATTTCGCTGAACGTGGTTCAAAATGAAACTAAAAACTCAACTGAAATAAGAGAGAAATTGAAAAAATAAAATAAAAAATAATAGAAAAGGCTCATGCAAAACAATCGATGCCTATGACGATCTTCTGTAACATATGATGCTGTAACGGTATTCCCCTTCTTTAGTGGCTGTGTATCCCGTTCGCCATGACGCACCGTGCAGTGGCGAGCATCACCGCGGACACGTCCTGGCTGGGGCGGTGGGACAGCCGACTGGCTGCCGTCTGGGTCGACCTGACGCTGATGATGGTAACGGCGCGGTCACATTCGTTGTAGGCGGCCGTCTAACTATTTTTATGTCGAAAGATTTTCAAGTAGGCTGTGGCAGAACCAAACGCCGACAAGGATCTAAGGCAGCCTTTTCCGTAACAAGACAGTTTTGTAGAACACATGTACATTCACGACTATCTCAAGAGTGCATACAGTTTGCTCTCCTACGACCGTCGTGCGACGAATGTTACCGGGCTCCAGGGAACCTGTTTTCCTGTACGTTTGTTGTAACCTGCATCTGTATCTGTATTTACGTATACATCTGGTATAACCGCCCCTCGGCGTAACATACCCTCCGGCGGTTGCGGCGGCAGCTGGCTACATTCCACCGATCGACTTGTTACACCTAGCCTTTAACCATCTAACTGACTAACTCTAACATTTTTAAAGCTATCTGGTGGGGATGCCCCTACCGTACTTGGTGGATATCGGTAACTAACCTTTAGCAAGGCACGCACGTACATATACTAAGCAGTTTGTTCCTCCACAGGCCCTGGGTTCCCCCGCCATCCAGCCGTATGTGCAGCGGGTCCTGGCGGCGCGCAGTGCACGTGAGGCCCGGCTCTTCTCCGTCTTCGGCTGCTTCGGGTGCCTTCTCCTTGCCGCACCGCCTGTTCTCATCGGCGCTATTGGAGCGTCAACAGGTATGCTTATCCTTGTTGGTAATGTCACGATGTAGTGTGTACAGTTATCATTACTTAAAGTTAATTCTGCTTTTTGTACAGAAGGATGACCCATAGAGACATCCATATTCTTTCCTTATTGTAAATAGCAATACCTGTTTGATTGTGTAGCCTACAAACAGTTGAAGGCTTCCTTTTTTTGGCGTGTGTTACAGACTGGAACCAGACTGCCCTACGTGTTCCACCTTTAAACGATACAGACAAAATCGCACCCTTGGTCATCCAGTATCTCACACCCACAGGTCAGTATACGCACTTTTCACTGCTACATTTTCTCTTCAGCTTCCTCCGGTTCAAGATGACGGTTAGATTGTGTATTGCCTCGTATTTGCGGTTTTTACCTGCAAGAAAGAGAAGTAGCTTCTTTACTCGATAAACCGTTTACTGTCATCGCAAGGTACATTTTGACCCTAGAATGAATCGATCGTGGCATGTATTACCAGCTGTTTTTGTGACCAAAGAGCATTGATGGCTGGTTGATGTTGCTTGCGTTATGGGGAAGCAATCACCTTCGGTTACATGGACCAAAATCGCGCTCTATTAATGACTGCCTGTACTGACAGAGAATTGTAATGTTCATGCAGTGATTGCCTGCTTTTCTCCATGTGATTGCAGCGGTATCCGTGGTGGGGTTGGGAACGGTGTCTGCCGCGGTCATGTCTTCTGTTGACTCCTCCATTCTCGGAGCTGCAAGTGTGTTTGGGCGGAACATCTACCAGGGTATACTTAGACCCAAGGTATATATTAATGCATGTCTTCAATAAAGTACAATCACCATTATAGTTTTCTGGGCCAAGCGATTAGTCGTCATGCACTGGTATAGGACAATTTTGCGTTTATGTGAAGGTGCAATCAGCACCAAGGACAGGGCTGGTTTTATCATAGAGTAAACGAGATCACAGTGTACTGGCATGACTATTCCCACAAACAATCAGCGTTCTTAAAGAATCTAAACAGACCTGTTACGCTGTGCCCCTGGGAATCTGCTCATTATCCGCTATTTTGTGGGATCAGTGGAATGAAAAATGATGATGATGATGATGAAACATCTCTTAGTTGCTGTACATGGCTAGAGCAATGTCCCTCAATATATCCAATGTGTGAATGTAGCTCCAACGCTTGATGTCGCTCAATTTCATTCCAATCAGGCTTCTGAAGTAGAAGTTGTGTGGTTAGTCCGTTTTTCCGTCGTCATCATCGGCGCATGCGCGGCCCTGGTGGCTCTGACGTCACACACCATCATCGGGCTGTGGTACCTGTCATCTGAGCTGGTTTACGTCATCCTGCTGCCTCAGGTCGTCTGTGTGCTGTTTGTCAGGTACGGTGTTTTTTTAACCTCCTCGGTCCTATTTACTTCTGTTCGTTTTGGCAGATACGGCCTTGACAGACCCTTAAAGGGGAGGTCCAATACTTTCAGTTTTGGGGCCTTTCTACCCAAAATCCTATTTGTAAATGGTGATTTACTGGTTTCTGCCAACCCCGCACATATTTGCCGTGATATCTGACCCGCTCGATGTTTCGCGGCTAGCGCCAGATTGTCCGCTAGGCGGCGCTGCGACTGGATCTGTGACGTAAAAGGTTTCATCCTGCTACTAACGTAAACAACAATGGCGGGCGTGCAACCCTTCCGTTTTTAGCCACAGACGGACAGTAGTGGTGACTCTGACCCCGATCCAGGCGATGAGAACGTTTGGGATGGAGGTGATGTGGAGACAGAGGGTTGGAGAACCGGGATTGGTGCCGGTGTGGAAACGAAGACAATAGAAACTGCCTGGAAATGCCCTCTGTACGGGAGAGTGTGTGTTGTCACGACCTACCAGAGCTGACAGACACTGAAAAGAACGTCGGTACAGACCACCCATGCATTAGAAACCACCCTGACTTCGATGTGATTCTGCACCCGGCAAACCTCCGAACGTTGCTGATTTTTCGGTGGGATCTGATCCGGTAGGGCGTGCAGGAGCCTGTATCTAACAGGTCGGTACCGCGAATACCGCAGTTTGTTTACATTGCAACTTACTCGACCCTTTGACGGATTTATTCATATCGACCGCCCATATGCCCAACAGAAAGGAATTGAGACTGACGTTCGCGTGAAGCATCCAGGCTCGAAATGGTCTGAACACACCCGCCAGTGGAAGCTCTTCTTGTGTACTAACTCTGTTCCAATGAAACCTTTTACGTCACAGATCCAGTCGCAGCGCCGCCTAGCGGACAATCTGGCGCTAGCCGCGAAACATCGAGCGGGTCAGATATCACGGCAAATATGTGCGGGGTTGGCAGAAACCAATAAATCACCATTTACAAATAGGATTTTGGGTAGAAAGGCCCCAAAACTGAAAGTATTGGACCTCCCCTTTAAGTTATATGCCCTTGGGAAAGACACTTAACATAACACGAATGCCCTCACTACAGTCAGGTAGACATGAGTACCTGGTTCGAGTTAGAGCTCTCGGCTTTAAGACATAGTAGGTCCCATGAGGGGAAAGAGACGAGGCGATGGGGGGGGGGGTGTTTGAATTTGTGTGTGTGTGTGTATGTTTGATAGTTTGTGTTTGTGTGCGCGCGCGTGTGTATGTTCGCTTGTTTTTAGACTCCTGGACAACTTTTGTTTTGACGCAGGTTCTCCAACTCGTACGGTTCCCTGGCGGGGTTCGCAGTAGGACTGGTACTGAGGATAGCAGCCGGAGAACCCCTGCTGAACATGGCGCCGTTCGTCAGGTACCCCTACTACAGCGACGAGCTGGGACAACTCTTCCCCTTCAGAACTCTCGCCATGCTGGCGTCTCTCGTCTCCATGGTGATCATTTCTGGGATGTTCCATGTAGGATTTCAGCGGGGGGTTCTGCCGAGCAAGCTTGATGTTTTTCATTGTTACCGGAATGAGTGTGACCTCAGTGCGAGTACCAGGGATGCTGATATGACTCTGTTCAGCCTGAATTATAACAGATCTTGTGAGCTGGATTTAACTTCCAATGAAACGACCGGCACGGAAAACGTATCAAATGTCCCAGATTAGCTGCAATGGACTGACCCCATAACCCCGCCCATCGCATGGGATGTAAGGATAATCTCCAAACAGATTCTCCATGTGGGGCGGCCAACGGATACAAGCGTCCAATATAGAGCTCCCCTTGCCCCACAGAATCTGCTTGGAGGTGTAAGGATATGTCTCTATTATGCTGCTGTTTTGATTATTTTTTGCGGTTAGGCATTTCATTTTGTGGTTTGCATTTATACAACATGTCAACAAGAACAAGAGCTATATATTCTGCAAACCAAAATTTATGACCATATATAGCATGTCCAGAACATGATATTTGATTTCAAAACTGGAACTTCTGAAGTCCAAAGTTTCACCTACTGAGTAATTGATTAAAGGATATGTATATTGAACAGTCAATATGACACAGATTTAGAAACTGATGGAATAGTTTTCTTCCTGCGATCAGTCAATTAAGTACAATATCATAATGCTGAAGGTCTATTCCGCACTTCTAGTAGTCGTTTTCGTTATGTTTTCTTTCGGTAGATAACACTATGTGACGCAGCACTCAATGGGTAACGATTATCTTGATGTTACCAACGGAGATGATTAGAAAGCGTAAGCGCAGATGTTCCCAATAAATGTGAAATAAACAACCATGATGAAATATATGAAAATAGATATAGCAATGGCGAACGATTCTAGTTTCATTTACTTTGCGCCTCATTCAGCCAAACCAAAACGGATTCTACTATTTAGCGATAGAAAAATACAAACTAAAATGCCGACAGAAGCAGTGTCGTTTAAATCAAGTCACGCCCCATATCTGCTTGGAGCTGGCTAAGTGCTCTGAGTGCAAGGCGAGTGCCCCGGGTGGGAAAAACTCCTCTATGTTGACATCTTTCTTTTAGTTCTCGAGATACCATTCGCCGGGAAAGTATCCCTTGTTTTGCAAACAAGTAAAGAGGCGGAACAGACGTTTCAGGATAAGAATATTAGTTGAAGTGTTGAGACAGCATTAAATGCTATCAATCCTTTAAAATCTCTGTATATGCATTTATTAAAAACATTTTGATTGGCAAGGAAAATGTACATTTTCATCAAAAATATATACATTTTATTTTTTTGCAACATATGTACATAGAACACGAATTCCAGTGAAATTTGGTCGTTTTTTTTCGCTTGGAGGCGGTCACTACCGCTTGCTGTTTTTGGCGATGACGTAGTTTCGTGACGTAATGAGGTGTCCTCGCTCTTACTTCCGGGTTTGCCGTTCCTACACATACGTTACACTTTCCTGGCCTCTGTGATCCACCACGGCCAAATTTCGGCACGAGACAAAGGACGGTAAGTTTACGTAATTTTTTCTGAAAGAAAGATGTGGATTTTACATGTCGTGACGGTGTTACTGTACATTCATCCTGAGTTGAGGACTAAAGATCCGTTTAATGTTTTGAGCGCCCCCCTCCCCATATAAAAACGGTAATAAGTTATATATATTAACGTAATTTTACGTTACCAAAGGACTTTGAACACGGTTGTTCACGAAGCTAAAAATTCTTTAGAGCTACTAAAGGTAGAACATAGTCAGAAAACGCACCCAAATGACGCTCGCACTGTATTGCTTGGCTAACTAATTAAGACTTAAGAACAAGGTTAGAAACCCTAATTTGTGAAAACAGCTCGCAAGAATACATTGTAACTACGTACTTCTGACATCATTGTTTGGAGACATGTCTGTTTTCTTTGTTTAAGTGTATCATAGACGTTTATGTGTCTTTGTTGTCGCAATTTCAGAAGTGTTGTAAGTCATTGTGACCATTGACCAACAGTCAAGAAAAATGGCACAAGCAGGTGAGGGAAAATGTGCACTCACTTGTTTTTGTTTTGCACAGACAGTAAACTGCCTCAAGGCAAAGGTACCAGTTTTTCACAGTAACTTGATATAAGTTGTAACAAAAAGTAGTGGATGCTACTTGAAATACCTTACACAAGTTACAGTTTTCAAAACCTATCCAGTTGCTTGAGTAACAATTTTGGGTAGTCAATGAAAAATGCTTTTTCTGTACTACAAAGTCTACATGTACTAGTACATACAGCTTCAGGTTCTACTTCATGTACCAGTGATGTGACTGTGTCAAACCTGTTCCCTCCCCCAGCCATGCATCAGTTTGCTGCCCCCATGCTGATGCCCACCCCTCCACAGCTGCAGCCCCCACAGGAGATAGGGGGGTGGGTTCAGGACAGGGTCCTAGGCAGCGGTGGTTTTGGCACTGTTACACTGTGGAGACATAAGGTAAAAACCATATCATCATGAGCTGAATGATCATATTTTGACTTTCTGGGTTTGGAACATTTATCCTGGAACATTGTTGTTCCGCACTCTAAATATGCATGTTATAGGCAAACATATATGAAACAGAGATAATAGTCATGTTGGGATTCTTCCTACCTTGCGTATACATTTTGATGACTATCAGACACCTTCCTCATCATGGCATACTAGTACATTGTAGCTTCTGACTGGATTTCTGCTTCTTCAAGAACACAATCCCAATAATCATTACTGTCTAGTGTCTACTAACTTTGGAGGATTTCTTTTACTTCCCAAGCATATACATGTACACGTACATTAGTGCTGTGTACCAGGTTAAGTAGATACCTGAGTATGCAACTCTAATGTACACTGTACTTCATTCCCTTCGGAAGTACACCCCTCTTTGGAACATATGAAAAATCTTGATTTCTTGTCTAAAACAGGAGTCCTCAGACACTGTAGCCCTGAAGAAGACCAGGCAGGAGTTGAACCCAAAGAACAGGGAGAGATGGAAGTTGGAGGTGGACATCATGAAACGGTTGAAGCACGACCACGTGGTCACTGCCATGGACGTACCAGACCCTCTCAAACCAAGTGTTGACCACCTGCCTTTTTTAGCCATGGAATTTTGCTCAGGTGGTGATCTGAGAAAGGTACGTATCATAGAGATTATAAGTAATGTGTAATATTTCTGTTGTACACTGCTGATACACAAGTGTTTAGTATAAAACCTACTACTTTTGCATTATAATGAGATTCAAAATTTGTCATGTTATTTTATCCTTGCTGATGAATGTCTGATATTTCAAAACCACTATACTATGAGTGCATCTCCTTCAATTACGGCATTCTCTACTCATGTACAGGTACTTTCTCGACCAGAAAACTACTGTGGGATGAGGGAGATTGATGTCAGGAATGTGGTGAGACATATTGGTAGGTCCAAAACTTGGAAAGACATTGAATCTTTCAATTGTGTTCCTTTCTACGTGTAACAGAAAGCAGTCAATGTTTTAATGAGTTGTAATGTGAAGTAGCAATGAAGTAATGTGCATAGTCTGTATTGAAGTAATCTGTAGTGAAGTAGTGTGTAGTAGCTGTAGACATGTGTGTAGTACAGTGGTTAGTGATCCCTCTGAACCAAGTAGTGAGTTTGGATCTCGGCTATGTCACTCATATAACATAGGTGCTTGCTTATAACGGAAAATGGTCACAGTCCTTAAAGTATCCAAAAAGGTTTATTTCAGCTACAACAAATTTTGACAGAGAGCCAATGTAATGTGGTAAATTTTCTGGCATTTGTGCCAAGCTAGAGGGACACTTCATTTTATGATACATGTACTTACATTATTTAACCATCCTTTTGTCCAGCATCTGGTGTAGAGTACCTCCATTCCAAGCGGATCATCCACAGAGACCTGAAGCCAGAGAACATTGTACTACAGGAGGAGGAGGGAGGGGAGGTGGTGTACAAACTCATTGACCTGGGGTATGCCAAGGACCTGGACCAAGGCAGCGTGTGCTCCTCATTTGTAGGAACTCTACAGTATTTGGTGAGTTTGAAAAGAAGAATGTAGAGAATATACCTTGTATAATGCTAACATTTATACTTTATATGTTTCTTTTTATTGTCACAGGCAAACAGACATACTAGAACAATACTTCTGTCTATCTCTTTCCTTGACCCTATGATCTGGAATGTCTGTCAACAGACAAAGTTGATAAATTAACCATTTTAAGACCTATGAACTTAAATGTTTCCTCTCACTGGACTGCAGTTACACCATTCCCCTCACTCGCTACAGACATATAAGCAAACAAAGTATCTGTACATGGAGGTAATACATGTAAAAGCAAGCAACTAGACATTTCAAATGATTCTTCAATAAGTATTGAACATTGTCTTGCAGGCTCCTGAACTCTTTGCTAGCCAGAAGTACACAAGAACAGTGGACTACTGGAGTTTTGGCACGCTGGTGTTTGAGTGCATCACAGGTTCCAGACCATTCCTACCCAACAGGAACCCTGTACAATGGTTAGGAACCTACTTTCACTTGACCACTCACTGTTGCAAAGTTTGAATTTGAAGCTTTTGCATGGAATAGCCCGTTATTGGGGAAGCTTTTAGTCTTATTTGCTTTATGTCCTTCATTGCTCATTATTTCATTTTCTCTTGCAGGCATCTCGAAGTGAAAAGAAAGAAACAAGACACACATATCAGGGCTTACGAAGAAAGACCAGGTTTGTTTTCTTCACTTGTACTACTGTTACATGTAGATCTGCCAAGGAAATGGTTTCAGCACTGTGAAAGTCCATGTGATAGTGTGAACTCTCTTGATTCTGCATACTACAATCTACTAATGCAGCATCAACAATAATTGTACATTATAGTGGCTGTTTTCTCTGTCAAGATCAGTAGAAGATTAGCTCTGCAGTTCAAGATCTCTTTCTTACTTTGTTTTCTTGCTAAACCAACCATAATCTCTGACTGATTTAATCTGTACATTAGGTGAAATCAAGCTGGCCTCAGACATCCCAGCCCCTCACCACCTGTGCCAGCCCCTAGTAGAGCGGTTTGAGTCCTGGCTACAGCTCATGCTCCGATGGGAGCCGCACAGTAGGGGAGGCGGCGGCAACAACAGGGCAACATGCTTTGAACTGCTGGACTCTATCTTAGACCTCAAGGTCAAAATACTTGCGTTATGTATCTCTGCATGCATGTACAATGTACCTGCACTGGTAACATTCAAAATCACCTGTTCCAGAAAAGTGTTACTTGCACCACTCATTTTCTAAATCTCTTAGTACAAAAACAGTGTTATTCCTAATGTACAGTACACAATGTGAATCTTGTAATCTGCAGTTATTGATCAATTGAAAGCACATCATATCAGTATGGAAAATCTTAGCTATGACCCTTTAATTAATAATAAGATTGGCTGGCATTATCATAAACTGGGGAAAGTTAGGTGCACAGCTGCAATTTTACCTACTTATTTATGAGATTTGTACATCAAGCCTCAGCATCAGTGTGCAAGCTTATGTATCTATACCAGATAGTGAGTTAGGGAGTATATTAGGTTTTACCTGTTTTACTTGTTCCAGATAGTCCATGTGCTGGACATGCACACGGGGCAGCTGTACTCGTACCCGGTGGAGGAGGATGAGACAGTGGAGTCGCTGATGATCCGGCTGGCCCTGGAGACACAGATGCCGGTAGAACAACAGGAGCTCATGTTCTCCACTGGCATGTCTCCTGATCCCAACGGCAAGGTCTCCCAGTGCTGGGATGAACCCGTGAGTGAAACTTAGTACTATTGTGTAACATTCGTACAAACCCATACTGTCTAACTGGTGCTATTCAGCCTAGCTAATCATGCTCCTGGCTACCGGTGCTACTAACGGTTGCCGCCCCTTGGATGGGGGTCATTGCAAGATCTTTAACTCTTCGTAAACACAGGCTAAGTGCTACGTTCTATAAAAATGGCGTATCATATATGGAGGGGATTTCATAAACATGATTTGGTTAGACTTGTTACCTCTGTGTACAGAGGTTTCATTTTCATTGGGTTTGTCCATCTACTTCTGTGTCTGCAGTTATTTGAATACATTAGAGTCACAGGAAGTAAGGGGGAGGGGAATGTTGTAACCACAGACTGACAGAAAGGGCAATATCTCCACTAAATTCTGCAGCTTCTCAATTCATTATGCTTTATGCAGGATTCAATGACTCGGCAGTTTTGTGTCTTTATAATTGTTAAACCATCTTGTTTTTCAGGGCAAGGACGACAATATCGTGTTCCTGTTCAACAAGAACTACATTGATGACTCGAAGTGGGTCGTCAGACCTCTTCCTGAGGTGGTTAAAGTCATGAGTAAGTGTTATTTGTTATTTCATGCTTGTCAACAATTTCTGGGTTTGATGAAATTTTTGATGAAACGCAATTTTGCAGTGAAATGCAGTCATACAGTCCTTGCATCACTTCTAACTTACTTATACACCTTTTTTTATGTCAGTTGCTGAACCACATACATTGCAGCCATATCCAGTAAGTTGCTTTGCTTGTTATATTGAATTTTTGTAGTTTTCATCCATTCCAATTACCTTAGTAATGGAGTATTAGTTTTAAAGTCTAAATCTTTGTCAATATATCTTTGCTAAAAGATTTGGATCCGCTTACACCAATAATACATGTACTATAATTGATGTCATCAGTAAAAATGGTGAACTAATGACAAACCTTTTTTTTTCAAATGCTGTATGAGTAGTCAGAGTGAAGAGGGGACTTGTCTCATTGTATATTTGTTTTCTTAGGAGAGGAAAAAATCCTATGGCCTGTCCTACCACTATTGTAGACTGATGGCAGATGCCTACAATCAGTTGTTCAAAGGAAGCAGAGCATCCATGTAAGTCAAACAGATGTTCAAACAGTGAACATTGTATCTTTATTAGCCTTTAGCTTTATTAGGAAAATTGTGTGACATCCATACCACTACATACTACTTGTAGTGCAAATGAAGCCTGCACTGTTATAAATGATGTACAATATAATGGTTTTGGAACTTCCCTCTTCAGGCTGAACCTTCTACGTCTCCAGAACATGCTGACCAAACTGGTGAAGGAGATCTCCAGCAGTTTCTCTACATACAAGGGACAGGAAGCACACTTTATTGCCAGGTCAGGACATGTGGCAGAATGCTTTTTACTAGCTTTGGCACAGTTTAGTTCAATAGTGGTTCATTTATTCAATTTCATTCCTAACCTTATGCCTCGATTGTCTTGAAACAGTTGGGATGACTAGCTGTGACTTTGCTTCTTGTTTCAGTCATTAGTCCTTAATGTGCAAAATACAATGTCATGTACAACACACAGTCATGTACTTTCTGATAGAAAATCAATTCTTCAGAACCCTTGTCTGATCATAGAGAACTTAATAGCTAATTTCTTAATCCTATTCATGTTAATATTTACGCGCTTTTAATGGAACTAAAGCACCACAGTTGATTTTGATTATTTTTCATTGCTCAGCCTTGAGTGTGATATGGAGAAATATGCTGAGCAGTCTACAACAGGAATAAGTGAGTGTTTGCTTTCAATACTACCATGTACTAAGAAATCTACACATAAAATGTAATAATTTATTTACGCTATCCTTGGTTTTGTTACAACATTGCAGTGTGACAGTGTTACAATTAAAGCATACCTTCATTTTCACTCACAGCTTCTGAAAAGATGTTCAGGTCTTGGAGAGAAACACAGAAGGAAGTTGAGGCAGTCACTGCAGTCCATGTAAGTGATTAACTCCTGATCATCCCAAGTTAAAGAAAAAACAATAGATAACTACATGTAGTTGCAGAAAAAAATTCTCTAAATTGTACAAGTCATTGACAAGGTTGATACAGATTATTGTTTGATTTTTGTTTCAAAATATGTGTCATCAATATGTCATTGTGGACAGTTGCTAAAAACATGCAAATTTGTTCATTGTTTAGCAAGAGGAGGTGCAAAAACATGAGAGTGCCAGTACAGCGCTGCAGACTAAACTGGTCCAGCCTCAGAGGAGTCCGCTGGCTCGCAGGAGACAGATAGAAGAGCTAGACGACATGTAGGTCGACAGTTGTGTTTGTCTCAACATCTTGATAACCTCTGTGTATGAAGGTTTTGTTTTGGGTGTGTTTGTGTGTTTGTGTTTCCATAGCCATTTCCATATGCTAGACTTTGCAAGGACAGTGATTTGAAGCCAGTTATCTCCTGTCTCCAATTCCTGCAGGTCTCTGACTGTTTAGAGAATCTATTCAGTTGTGGTATGAGAGTTGTGTTGTTTTAACACAAATATTCAACTGTCATGTTATCATTTCAGAGCAAAACAGGCCTTGAATCTCTTCAATGAGCTCAGACAAACTCCCAGAGGTAAGAGGAAACAAGTCTCCTGGCTGGTAACATCATAATTCCTCTTCAAATCTTTGTTGTATCTTTCCTTTAAGTTAGCTATAGAATTTGGGTTCTTATATTTTATGTTGTGCATGTTGTGCAACTTTTTTCTGTGCACCAAAATGTTTAGGTTAGGTGTGCCATGTGTACCTGTCCCCAAAAATGAATTTTGAGCCATGAAATAGTAAACCCAAGGATCTCTCTTAGTAAGTATACTTTCTTGGGATTACTATGACTGTATGGGACATGCTGTGTTGCTTAGTATACATATTAAACTCTTCTCTGTCCATTTTGATCTTGCAGAAGAGAGAATACACTACAGAGACAGTCAGAAGATGGTGAGAGTTGTGCTGAACTGTGTCACCAAGAGAGACAACCTTGTGGAGGACATATACACCCATCTCATGTAAGTACCAGTTTAAAATTACATATACTCAGTACAGCACAATGTCAAAACAACCAAGTGTAACCGTACAGCAACTTTGACTCTTGTCATGCTTCCCTATGTAACGTTAGTGATACATGTAAGCTAGTTCATGGCAACTATTTGAATGGAGCACATGTGGGGTTTGTGTGAGGGGGGAACAAGATCTTGATAAAACTACTAACATTGATAAGACAATTTCATTGATATCAAGTGTTAATGTACAAAAATGTCAAAATAATCAAGCAAAACCTGACCCCCTAGTCAGTAACCTTGATACCAAATCACTCACCTAAGAAGTTTGTCACTGTCTGACAATGGATTTCAAAAGTCTACAATCATACATGTAACGTTAACGTCAATGTAATTCTCACTTGTGATATTTTTCAGGAAGCTGATAGAGCTGAGAAAAGAAGTGAAGGAGTTGCTCCCCAACATGCAAAGGACTCTTAAGGACATTGAAGAATCCAGGAAAAAGCTGACTGCATTCCAGAGGAAGAGGCAACAGGACCTATGGACGTTACTGAAAGTTGTGGTAAGTCGATGAACAGTCTGTCGGTGGTAAGTCAATGAGTGGTGAATTGAACATGAAGCCAGGGGTCCTATAGGAAAGCTACACTTTGAGCATGTTAAAGATTTCACCACTGTGACAGTTGTTGAAAAGAGTAGGGGTCCTTCCTGGTGTTAATGGAACGAACCATACAGTCTGGACCTATGCATCTTGCACTTATGCACTTACAAACAAAGCTGATGTGTTGTACCTTAAGGCAGTTATTGGTTATATGTAAACAAACATCGTGTTATAGTTGCAGAAGGTTCCTGGGAACTCTCCTGACCCTGTCCCAACCAACCCTGGAGCCATGGAGAACAGGTCCCTGTCCTCAAGTACCAGCAGTGTGTCGTCTGTCTACCTGGAGAAAACATGGTCAGTAGTACTGTATGTGTCCTCTGTCTACCTGGAGAAAACATGGTCAGTAGTACTGTATGTGTCGTCTGTCTACCTGGAGAAAACATGGTCAGTAGTACTGTATGTGTCGTCTGTCTACCTGGAGAAAACATGGTCAGTAGTACTATATGTGTCCTATGTCTACCTGGAGAAAACATGGTCAGTAGCATGTGTATGTATGGACACTTAAACAGTCAGTAATAGCTGTGAACAGTGAAGACAGGAGGCAATAAGGAAATTCGGAATATTGTTGACTGCTGCAACTTTCATGACATTGGGTAGAATGTGCTTATCATATTATTTTCTGCACTCTATATCTTATATTGAATTTCATATTTCTCCTTTTGAAGTGTTTTGAAGTCTCTCAACTTTTTGGGTGAAGGGAACATTCTCTTGTTTGTTGTTTTACATGATATGTTTTTATTTTTTCAGTGAGGAATCCATGGTGGCAAAAAGTGAGAACCAGGATGTGAGAGGAAGGTAATTTTTCCTCCCAAGTTCATTCTGAGTTTGTATGATAAAGTCATAGAAATCATAGACATTCTTCATGTAAAGATTCTGTTCTTAAGATGTTAGATTTGAAAGGTGACGTGTCCAAGACTTTAATCTGTGAATGTTTCAATTTTAGGTCCTTCAGGTCACCTAATATTAAAATGGCAGAGACTACATCTTTCTTTAGAATTTGTAATACACTGTACTACTAATAAGATGGTAAACAGTATTACACAACTTCTATGACCCATCTCTTTACTGATGAACGGTGTATGTTGGATGAGTTTTGCTCAACGACAACTTTTTTCTTTCCTCAGGTTTTCAGAGATGTTCAGCAGCATCATAAACCTTGAGTCTGACAGCTTGTCCAACACACAGGTTGGTTACATATAGTACATACATACTCTTTTATATCACATAATAATCATATGTTGTATATATTACAGGGGAGATTGGAATCTAGGGGAATCAAGGTTTTCAGTTATTGTTTCTAACCCTAAAATGTACTGCATACTACTCACTAGTGACAGTAACTTTAGTCTATAACTACATGTACATGTTACTTCAAAAACTAGTGAATAGTATGCAGCACATTTTAGGAAACAATCATTAAAAAACCATGATTCCAGTCTCCTCTGTGACATATACATATACATATACATAAACACAGATTCTAGTCTTAGTAGCATTATGTAATCATTATGATAATCATATTTACCCCTGCAACAGTATAACAGAAGACTGGATACTACATGTATTACTATATATAATAGATCAAAGCAGCTACCACAAGATTTTTTTACAACTACTGTTATTCTTTTCAGTCACTTGACTGGAGTTTTCTGGAGGATGGAAAGGAGGCCAGAGACAACAGAGACAATACACCTGAATCTGTAGAGGAGAGTTTATAAAACCTGTCTACACTTCTGAACACATTAAAATGCTGCTGCTGGTAAACAAGCAGGCTCGACATCAAGTGAATTACACAAACACATGTGGCCAAAATGCTATAAGATTCAATGCAATTATGGATACTTTTATGCTTTTTTTGTTGTTTCTTTCTTACTATTATTGGTAGACTGAAAATCTTTTATTGCATAGTATCATTACCACTTAGTATCGTGTTTCAGTATATGTAGAATGATTGCTGTACTACTGACATTACATACCTATTAAATAAGTAAGTTAATTAGTAAGTTAACAATGTAAGTTAGTGCAGCAGTTAATCATTTACTGTCTTTCAGCTTTTAGGCACCATGTCATTCCATTTTGAGAGGAAGTTATGAGTCAATCTCTGAATTTCCTGTAAAGTTATGTACTTGCAACTGTTAATATTAGGAGATTTTTTTTTCTAAATTCATGTACATAGATTATTGCAGCCTCTGCCACTGGCCAGTTAAATCAGAGTTACAGTACAGTGTAATTGTAAATCTTCAAGATGTAGCTATATGTGGCAGAAAATAAAGTTTTTCTTCACCAATGACCCAAGCATTTTGTGTGATGCTTGTGTTTATTTGAATAGGAAAGATGAATGAATGTAAACAGGTAGTGCAGGTTTAGAGCATTGCACACTGAACTGAGAAAGTTGATCCATGAATGGCTAATACGAAAGAAACTGTTTTAGAATTGTGTTATGGAGTTATGAGAGTTTCGTTTTTAATAAATTGTAATGCTACGTTTTCGGAGTTTTGGGGATTCTGAAAACTGAAATGGCAGAAATACTGACGAAAACGCTCCGTATTCCGTCGCTGGTAAAAGTTCTAGGAATGCTTGTAACTTTGTATCAAAAATGAACAGATGCAAAGACCTGAAGTAAAACCCCCATAAGAGCCCATCTCGTTTCCCAACTCGCGAAGCGGCCGAATCTGGGTAATAAAAAAAATACGCGAGATACGCGCCCTTTCGGAAGGAGCGCTCCAAAACGGGGTGTGATAGGGGATGAATTCCAGAAAAATCAAACTTTTGACATCTTTCAGCCTGGATCTTTGTAGAGTATAATCCCAACGGTCTCTATTCCATTCAAATTCAACAAGTTATATTCCGTAAAATGGTGTATTTCTGTAACTTTTGAGCGACCATTCCTGATTTCAGACAGGCTGTCAAAGGGTCGATTTTGCCGCGTTTTCTTGAAAATTTTCAATGCATAGTGTATGATAAATGTATGTGTAGGTCTCATTTGTGAATTATACGTCGTAAGCTCATGTTCTTAAAAAGCAATACGATAACAGAAACTGTCTTGTTTTTCTCGGCGTGGTTCATAACCACCTGTTGGAATGTGCAAAATGCCCTGATGTTCCCTCCCAAACCTCGCGTAAATAAGGCTGGAAACTCAAAGGTTCAAATCGTCGAAATACAAGGCATAGAAACGTTTGGAAACTTCGTATTTTTTGTAAACGTGTGATACTTGGTGATCTGCTTTTGTTTGTTGAAGCTGTCTTCTTAATTAAATTAGAAGCTTTTTGGACAGGACCGATTGAACACCTGCGTAAAATAAGCACGTGGTGCATGGTTCATTCAAAATGGCGCTTTCGTACTGCGGGAATGTTCTGGGTTGTTAATTTTGTGCAACTTTTCGGGTACTTTTTTGAGCTTTGGTCGGTAGAATGTATTTCTAAACTGTGCGGTGGAACAATGGGAAGTTTTCGAAGTAGATTAATTGCCGTTCTCGTTGTGTTTTTTTTTTTTAGAAAATGCGGATTTCCTGACCTGGTGGATTTTCGGCAAGACAACAAAATGGCGAACGAATGGCGTGGTTTGGCCTGGAGACGACGTTGCTGCTTTTTCGTACAGGTAAGCAAGAAACTATTTGGCAGACATTATGTTGAAGAACCATGATGTCATATTCAACAAGTCATATTCCGTCAAAATAGTGTATTTCTGTAACTTGAGCGACCGCTCCTAATTTGAGACAGGCTTTGAAAGAGTCAATTTTGCCGCGTTTTCTTGAACATTTTCCGTGCATGGTGTATATTAAATGTATGTATAGGTGTCATTAGTCATTATACAACATTGTGAGTTCATTTTTGTCAAAAGCAATGCGGTAAGAGAAACTGCGTTTTGTTTTTCTCGGCGTGGTTCAGACCACCTGTTGGAATGTGCACGTGTGCATAATTAAATCCCTCTGATTTTCCCTCCCTCGCGTAAATAAGGCTGGAAACTGAAAAGGTTCAAATCGAAATAAACACGGTATAAAAAGTTTGGAAACTTCATTCCGTATTTTTTTTTGTGTTTGTTAACGTGTAATAGAAAGATCGAGTTAACCGTTTTATCAGTTAAAACTTTCTTCGTAATTAAATTAGAAGCTTATTGGACAGGGACGTTTGAACACGTGTAAAAGCACGCTTTGCATGGTTCGTTCAAAATGGCGGTTTAGTACTCAGAAAAATTTCTGGGTTGTAACGTTACATGTTCCTGATTTTTGTGCACCTTTTCGGGTACTTTATCGAGTTTTTGTCGACAGAATGTCTTTGTAACAAGTGGTGGAACGGTGGGTAGTTTTTGAAGTATGTTAATTCCCGTTCTCGTGGTGTTTTCAGGAGAAAATGCGGATTTCCTGATCTGGAGAAATTTCGGCAAAGACAAAATGGCGAAGAATTGCGTGGTTTGGAGACGACGTCGCTATTTCGTATAGGTAAGTAAGCAACAAACTATTTGGCAGACATCATCTTGAAGAACATGTCATATTCCGCAAGAAATGGTGTAGATCTGTAACTTCCGAGGGACTCTACGAGGGACCGTTCCTTATCTGAGAAAGCCTTTCCAATTTTGCCGCGTTTTCTCGAACGTTTTCCATGTGCGATGTGTGCTAAATATAACGTTATGTGTAAATCTAGATCTCGTTCACCAAGTATACAACGTGGCAAGTTCAAATTTGTAATAAAAATGCACTCATAAAAACTGTCTTTTATTTAAAAAAAACACCTGTTGGAACGTGGAACGTGTCTAAATTAAATTAAACCCCAAAGCCAAACAGAAATTGCACTGGCAGGTCGCAAGGGTCCAATCATTCTGCACCTTTTTTATTTGAATTTTGTATATACAGCTTCAGATGAAGAGCTTGTAGTTTTTAGTAGTCTTGCTATTAATGTTTTATGTGGTTGCTACTGTCACATTGTTTCATGGTGTTTGTAATTAACAAATCTTTTGAAATATCAACTTTAACCTTTAGGAATGACATGATGATTATACCATGTAAATTATGTATCCATCAGCATTTTATGAAATTAATAAAGCCGGAAAGCTTCGATTTATTCTCTATGTTGACAGAACTGATAATAACTTGTGACTATCTAATAAAATAGTATACTCGTCATAGAATCATGTAGCTGTACATGTCTGTTTCCCGAGGGTTAGCTAGCTGTACTTAAGTCCTGAGGAGAGGAGACTTGTGATGACAGAGGCACCAGAGTATTAGGCCAGGTGAGAAAAATTTGGATTCTATATTTTCCCAACCATGTTTGGAGTTGTTTGAAACAAGCATGTAACTTATAATGTTGTATAGTTAGGTGGCTGCTGACTGATGCAATAGTGATCATGGCTCCTGTCTAAACCTGACAAGAGAAGTTTGGACCAGACCTGGCCAGACCAGACCTGGAGATTTGAAGACCCCAGATGAATATCAGGTGAGAAATATCTGAATTTTGCACTTAACCTACCATCCATTTTGCTATTTGAGACAAATTACTGTGTAACTTCTAATGTCTGTATAGTTAGGTGGCTGCTGACTGATGCAGTAGTGATGACTTCTGTCTGAACCTGACAATAGAAGATTGGACCAAACCTGGAGATTTCAAAACCTCAGATGAATATCAGGTAAGAACAATCTGAATTCTGTATTTTACCTATTATTATTTTGGTGTTATTTGAGACAAATGTGTAACTTATAATGTTGTATAGTTAGGTGGCTGCTGACTGATGCAATAGTGACCATGGCTCCTGTCTAAACCTGACAAGAGAAGTTTGGACCAGACTAGACTTGGTGATTTTAAGGCTCAAGAGTGACATGAAGAGTTTGTACAGGTGAGACAATGCTTGACAATTTTTTTTTATTTTTGTCTGTTATTTATTAAGAACTCTGTGACACACCAATGACATTAAAAACATTCCTTAGGTTTTAAGAATGTATACAATTTTTCTTTTATAATCATTAGATGTTGCCTGGATATATGCTTTTTTGACATGACACTTAGTCTAACTATTCTTGCATATAGTTAGGTGTGTCCGTGATGTTCCTGTTCTGAGAAACCTGTGACGAGGGGCGACATCGGAACCAGGCCAGACGAGGACTACCGGTAGTTGACTTGAAGACACAGTGGAGTGAAGAGTCTGTACAGGTGAGAATGCTTTACAGCTTATGTGCATACATGTATTACTATTTTCTTCAGTAGTTCAGAACACACTTAGTCTATTAGTAACATGTTTAAAACAACTTTCATTATATTACAACTTTCGTTATATTACAACTTTCTACAACCAAACAAGCAAAGGTTCTATCAGTGATTGTGCAATTTTATCATAATAATGTATCTTATACTGTCATTCTGTATTGCCCTTGGTTTTTAAACATTACACTAATACTCCTTTCCTGTCTTTAGATGTGTTGTAAGGGCCAGATGTGGGAGACACCTGATGGTTGCTGACTTGTGTCCAAACCAGTTCACTTGAAGGCACAGAGTTTATTCAGGTGAGATACAGGTTTACAACTTTCAACATTTTGCTTTTTTGGAAAGGCCATATCTTTAAAAAAGACCTTTTCATTTCCTTTAAGACTCATTCAGTGTTTTTTTTTTACTTTTTCATCATGCTAATTATCCTTTTATGTCATAAGGGGTGTTCTGATCGATCATTACTTACAGGTATGTTCATTAAGTGTTGCCCAGGGATGGTTTTGCATCATGCTAATTATCCTTTCATATCATTAGGTGTGTGCTGAAAGTCAGCTGTCCTGTCTGGGAGAAACCTGCGATGACGGCTCAGCAAACCAGTGGACTTGAAGATGCTGAAGGAAATGAAGATATTCC